TGTGGCATCACAAAGTCTGTCCATCTGTCCTGGGCTCTGTCGGGCTTCCTCGTGCTTCCCATCCACAGCCTGCCCCCTTCCCAATCTCTCCGTGGCCAGCCCCCTGTCTCCAGGCTCCTAAGCCAGGCCTCTCTGGGAGAGGACAGTGGATTCTTATTGATGAGGTTTCATAAGCTGAGCAGCAGCAACGGCCACGTGAATTCTAAATAACTGTGGGGGTGAGGGGGAAACTTCCCCTTTTCCCTGAAAGTTCACCGAAAAATCAACTCATTTAAGGCAGATTAACACGAGAAAGAGGTTTATTAACTGCGCACATGAGGAGAATCACAGAGTGACTACCCCATATCCCAGTGAAGTCCAAAAATTTTTATACTCTCCTTTTAGAGGAAAGGGGGAAGGTAATTCTGTTTAGGGGCAATAAATGATTTCGAGGGAGGATGAATGGATGGGGGAAACAGATTGACTTATAAACGATTCTCTTTGCAAATTAAATTAACCTGAGACACAGGTATTTTATTGAAAATAATTTTGGCCAGATCTGGTGGCATTCTTGGTCTTCTTTCTTGCAATATATTGAGATAACAGGGAGGAGAGGGAACTCAATGGTTCTTTTTGACGGGTCCCATCTGATTTCTGCAGATAGAGGGAAAGCCCCTTCCAAGTCCTGTTGATCTCTAAGAGCCTTTAATTCAAAATACTCCTCGTATGACGGAGTCATATTTTGGGGTGAAATTGCCTGAGATCCTTCATAGGAGTCTGAAGAAATGGGTTCAGTATGGGTCTGTCGCTCACTGGTTCTGTCAGCCCAACACCTCAAATCCTTTTCTTACAGAGGTTGTTAGAAAAAAGTAATTACATGAATAGAGAAAGAAATAGACACACAAACACTCATCCTCTCTGACCCTTGTCTTCACTTGTAAAACGAGAATACTAAACATGATACACATCAACCTGTTAACAGCGTCTATCTCTGAGTGATACGATTTTTTTCTTCTTTTTGTTTATCTGTGTTTGTTTCGACAGGAGACGTGTATCATTTTTGCAATAAGAAATAAAAACAGTGAAAGCTATTTTTAAATGGAGAGAATAAGCACTGTACTGCCCACCCCAAAGGGCTGTAGGAAGAAGGAAACAAAATATCTGCGAACGTGCTTTGTAAACAGGGAATCCCAGACAAATGTTAAGAATTTCCACTGTCCTTGTTAACCAGCATGGACACCTCACCTGCTCTGCATAGAATTCCGTCACACACTTTGTTCTTTTCTTTTTCTACCTCTCCTTCTTCTCCTTTTCTTTCTTTCTCCCCATTCTTCCTGCCCTTGTTTTTTCCAAATATTTGGCCTAGGACAACAGAGTATCCAAAGGTCTTGCTCGATCCTGCTGAGATTCAGAACTGAAGAGCTTCTGGGCAGAGAGTCCTCCCAGCTCAAATTTCAAACAGTGGCTGCTGCCTTTGGCTCCTTCATCCTTCCCTACACCCC